ACAAAACCAAAATCACGTACCATTTTCAAAAGTGAAGCTCTACCGTCGCCATCGGTAGTATTACGCAAAACAGCTTTCAATAACAGTGGGTACTTGGTCAGCCGTTGCATTGGTTTCGCCAGTAAGTCGGTAAGGTGCAATCGACCGAGGGTTCTTTTGGACTGGACCCACTGGAAAAAACAGCATTTATTATAACCACTAATAAAGTTGTCATCAAGCTTATGAGGGGTTTTCAAAATACGTAGATGGCTAAGTCAGATCTATTCCATCGATGAAATTAAGTAAAACAGGGGAGCTTGGCATAAGTTTATCACAACGTCGCCCAAAGAAGCAGCGAAGAATGGCTAAAGTTAGAGGTCGTTATACAAAGCGAAGGCGAACTAATGTTGAGTACTTAGAGTACTTATCCTTTAATTAAAACTTATTTTTGGGAATTTGTTTCGGATCACTTGATCAGTCAACGGTTTCCGCTAAACATGCATTCTCTCGTTTCTAACGGCACAACCACTCCTTTGCCTGGCTATTTTTGTGCTGTCCTCCGTCGATACTTCCAGCTAATTGCATAGCTGAAAATTAGAATTGTAATGATTGCATTACAACGTAATTATTGCAATTGAAGCAATAATCAAAACCAGCTCCTGTTCAAATACCATTGTTTGATTAAGTAAAAAAAAACAACGGATTCCATGCCAAAAGAGAGTACTGACACTAAACCGAACGGCGCCAGCGACGTACATCAAGTCGTTTAATACCTGCTGATCAAAACTGACAAATCTGTACGTAAGTTCATTGGAATTTTTTCAACAAGGGAAATGGAAGAACTCACATATTGCGAACCAATTGAGTTCGTTTGCCGCCAATGCCGAAAGAATAAGTTTTGCCGCCACTGGACGATTATGCGGAAACAGACTTTTTCGTTAGAAGCCGTTATCGAGAAAACTGAATAAAGTGTCCAACTTGAAGTTATAATGAATAGTTGGAACAGCGTTAGAGCTATGGCTAAAAACGGCATCGTCACAATGTGCCAAATATGGCATCGACCATATGAAATAACGTTCTATCGGATGATGCTGAAAATCGTTGAAAGACGTTTACATATTTCGCGAAAGTTCGCCTTGGACACCAGCTGCATTTATATAAAAATTGTTCGATAACAAAAATTGAAACTTTTGGGGTTGTGCACTTGTTACTGGCCGTAGATGTAAATTCTTGGAATGAAACAACAGATTTATAGTTGGGCCATAGGTAAGGCACAACCGAAGAACAGTTTAAGCAAATGCAAAATGCTCTTTGAAAATTTAATTTACTGTTTACAGCTTGTGGCAACTTTAAGTCAGCTGCCAAGTGGGTCAAAAGAATTACAGCTACAGTACACAGGCCTTGCCAAAGCATAAAACTGAATCTCATACGTTTTGCCATAACTACATCAGACCACCATGATTTCATTATTAATTGGGGGTGAGCGATTTTTCATCCGTTTTACAGCTAGAGAAAACGAAGCGCAGTAGGATTAAATCCTAGCGCAATAGAATTACGAATTAAAGAATAACTTCCGCACCACCAAGTGAGAGGTCAAGCCATTAGCTATTGCTCTGATTCTTCTTAGCGATTCTGAGTGCGATTGACTGAATGCAATGGCAAGCTTTACGTATATGCTCTAAATATACGAGTGAAGTACAGCGAAAGTAGGTTTACCATTAGAGAGAAAAAGTAAGTGCAACCACTGCAACATGGAACTTTAAATACATCAGCCATCATCAGAGTTATCTAATCAAATCTGACGCAAGACTCCGCACCCTCTAGCCATAGAGTCGATCTCAGAGTCAGCCAGGATTAAGTGACAACTGTCGAAAGAGGACTCGCAACGAGACATACACCGCCCCGACTTCGCGGTAGTGCAGTTTCCCCCACCACAATGAGGATAAGAAGAAGAAATATGAAATCATCCCGAGGAAGCATGAGATTTCAAACCGCAGTGGCGTGTAACCAAAACGAGGTTCAGTCAATCAATCAAGTTTATTTGCTTAGGTGACGATAACTAGTTGAAATTAGTACAGAAACGTTGTAGTCAAGGACAACGGT